GCGCCCTACTCCCGGGTGAGTGCCAGCTGGGCCGGGGGCAGTGGCCAGTCCCTCGCCGGGGCAGGGGCACCTGCTGTCTGTCTGCTCCTGGGCTAGAGGATAGGGGCGAGTGGGCCCAGAAAGGCTCTAGATGCCCCGCCTGTGCCCCAGCTCCCCGCAAGGCGTTCCTCCCTTGGAGAAGTGGTCTCCAAGCGCCCGGGATGGGACCGCTAGGGCCTGCCAGCCTGTGCCTAGCGACCTGGCTCAGTGGCGGGTGGTGGGCTGCGTTTGGCCCACCTGGGAAGGCAGCTTCCTTTACTTCGCCCCACCCCCTTCTCGCCTGGCGTGGGAGGGAGTTTGATGCCCCTGCATCCCCAGCTGCTTCCTCTGTGTGCCTGGTAGGGTGCTGCCTGGGGTGCCCTGCTCCACCTGAAGTTCACACTGACAAGGACTTGGGGCTCCTTTGCATCTACCTCATGGTCTGGTTGGTGGAAATGAGGCAGCCAGTCGGGACCCCGCAGTGTGGAGTCCCTGCTCCAGGCCGGCTTGTGCCAGACTTCACTTGTATGAATTCCTCAAACCCTTTCACCCACCCATTCACAGGACGCACATGCCAGAGAAGTGAGTGGAGGGATGGGTGTGGATGGCTGACGTGCTGGCTGCACAGTCTGTCCTGGGCTTGAGGGGCTCAACCATTGGCTTGTTCTCCTGACCTCTGGCTCTGTTTGCCTTTCCTGACGTGAGTGTGAGTGTGTGAATGTGTGTGTGTGTGTGTGGGGGGGGGGATTGTGAAAATCCTTGGAGTCCCCTTTTGGAGCCTCTCAGACAGGTTCTCCAAACCCCAGGGTGGGCAGGGGCCACTGGGCAGTGGGGTTAGGGTGGCCTAAGTGATGAGGCTGAGGAGACTGTTCGGGGGGCAGCACTTACCCATGGGGGACCCCGGCTGGGTCTAGGTTGGTGTAGGATAGGTCATCTACAGCCTTATCCGCTGGGCGACCTATTCCCTCCCCTCTCAGGGCTTCAGGGCTCCCATCTGTAATGGAATGCCCAAGTTCTTCCTACCCGGCTTCTGCTGAGGGGAATGAGGGCACACAGGAAGTGCCTGGCCTCGGGCCTCCTTACCATGGCCCCGTCATGGTTCGGCCTGGCATGTGCTCCTTCCCTCCCGAGGTGAGGGGCTTCTCCCCCCACCCCCACTCCCTGCCACCCTCAGCCTTCCCTGACTGCCTCTGGACTGGAGGCCAGGGTTTGGAGAGGCCTCCTCAGTGCTCACCAGCTCACCCTGCCACTCACACCATTCCCTCTGTGGCTGGACACCGCTGTCCAGACCTGGACCCCTCCACAAGCCACGGCTGGGAGCTGCAGTCCTGTACACCAAAATGGTTTCGGGCTTGATTCCGGGTCAGGGCACAGCCCTAGGTTTCGGGTTCGATCCCCAGTTGGGGCTCATATGGGAGGCAGATGGATGTTTCTCTCTCACATTGATTTTTCTCTCTCGTTCTCTCTCTCTCTCAAAATCAATAAACATATTTTCAGGTGAGAATTAAAAAAAAAAAAAAAGGAGAGACTGAAATATCCTGATGTGGATGAGACATTTGAGTTGAGATCTGAACAACAAGCAGTATCTCCCCTAAAATGTTCCCTGGAGGAGCTTCCCAGGTCGAAGGAAAAGTTAGTGCAAAGGTGGGGATGCACCTACTATGTTCAGTGTGGCTGCAGCTGAGGAGAGAGCTGGGGAGGGTGGGAGATGCGCCTAGAGGGCCTTGGGAAGGAACTGGAATTTACTGATAGCCATGGGAAGCCATCTAGGTTTTAAGATCACCAAGATGGAACAAGAAGAAATAGGAAGCCAGTTGAAGAGACTGGTGATTTTCCTGGGCAGAGTGGACGGGGCTTGCCCTGGGCTGATACTGTGCAGGAAGCAGAAATGGGGGGCTTCCTGATGGTTCTGGAGACAGAGCTGATGTGACTGGTGCCCAAGAATGATCTGATCAGATAGGTTTCCTTTCCACGTGGTTTGTGGAGTTCAGCGTGCAGTCTGAATTTTAAATTGGAGTGGAGAGATCACTATTTCTCTCCAAAAAAAAAAAAAAGCAGAATTGCTTTTTACTTATGAAGGGTTTGTCAACGAGTTCATCGCTTAGCCTGATCACCAGAGGGAATGTCCCTGACCCAGGGGCACATAGGTCACCCCAGAAGGCCTAAGTCATCAGGGGGAGTGAATGGGTTAGAGCAGACTCGAGCAGCGAGGCCTGTGGCTCCTGCTTATCTGATCTTGCAACACTAGCCCAGCTAGAACTTATTAACCAGAAACCTTGTGTCATAATCTATGCTTACCAGACTGGGATCACCATTGTTTCCCCAAAATGGTGAAGCCTCAAGTCCCCCATGCAACAACTTGCCCTGCGTCTCCCGCCCTCCGTATAAAGTGGGGGACTGAGGCTTTCCTTGGGGGTGAGCGTGCATGGACAATTTGTCTGGTTTCTTGGTGTGGCATTTCAGCCACCAGCCTGTGGATGCTGTGAATCGAGTTTTGTGCAGGGTGGAGTGGGTGCCTGAGGGCAGGATGGCATGGCTTGCGCGTTAAGGTCACACATATGCTGTGGCCTGGGGTAAAATCCTGTTTCTGGCCCTTACTTGCTGTGAGGCCTTAGGCTTGTTTCGTTGCCTCTCTGATCCTATTTCCCCATCTGTCAGGTGGGGATATAATAGTTACCACCCAATAGGAGAAAGCATCAATGTTCACAAATCGCTGAGTACAGCGCATGGTGCCGGCCGGATTTCCGGGATTCTCCCAGTCTCTGTCTCTGTCGTTGTGTGTAGTTTCTTCTCTCTCCATCTCTGTCCTTGGCACCCAGTTCCTCTTTCTCTCCTCCCTCCTATTGCCCTCTCCCTCTTCTCTCCATAACCTCCTGCTATTTTTGTTTCCTTTTTTCAAAGCAGAACCCCGTGTGGTTTGCCTGTGGTTGCTCTGGATGGCAGAGTTCTTTGGCTTAGGTCCAGGACCCTCCCTGACCATGAGACTGGGGCCTGCCCACCTAGCTCTCCCTGGCCTGTCTGCTCCACAGGGGCCCTGGGACATGGAGCCCAGTGGAAGGGCTGGGAGGAAATAAATAGGTGTGTGTGTGTGTGTGGGGGGGGGTGATGGCAGTGGAGGTTGGGGGAGGCCTCAGGGTGGCCCTGTTTGAGGCTAGTCCCTACGCTAGACCCCCAGCCTCTAGCTGTCCAGAGTGGGGGGCTGGACCCTGGGATCTTCAAGCATTCCCCTCTTTAACCCCTTAGACCCATCTGTCCCCGCTCCATGGCCAGCCTGCCCTCCTGGTGGACCTGGGTTCCTCTGATCTGTGTGGCCGGCCCGGGTGGGGATGGCCCAGCCCTGTAATCACTGGCCACAGCTACTCTGGGCCTCTCTCTGGTGCCCACTTCCTCTTGCACTCCACCCACTGGCCACCGGAGTCTGGTATGGGACCCACACTCCTGCAGGCTGTGGTCTGCCTAGGAAATGACAGGCCTTTCTCAAGGGCTAGTGTTTCTGGAAGGTTCTGAGTTAAGGGGCCTTAGAATAAGACAGGCCTAGGTTTCTTCTCTGTTACTTGGAGTTCCTCTTCCCACAACCCCTGATGGGCACCAACTCTTCCTCAGTCCCAGCTGTGGTCCCAAGAGGAGCTGGTCACTGGGTGACCTCGTGCCAGAGGTAACACCTCTCTGAGCCTCCACTTCACCATCTGCAAAATGGTAAGAAAGGTGAACCATAACCTCCTGGTTCATAGGCGAAGCTCAATCACTGAGCCACACCGGCTGGGCTGTACCACAGCTTTTTTATTCACTCATCTACTAATGGACACTTGGGCTGTTTACAGATCTTAGCTATCCTATATAATAAAAGCCTAATATGCTAAGTGTCCAGTTGTCCAGTCGGCAGTTCAACCAATCAAAGTGTAATATGCTAATGAAATGCTAAGGCAGCTCAATGGCTCACTATGATGTGCACTGACCACCAGAGGGCAGACGCTCCAACTGGTAGGTTAGCTTGCTGCTGGAGTCCAGCTGATTGGGACTGAGTGAGACAGGTCAGACACGCCCTGGAATCCTCCTACGGTCCCTCTCCGGCTGGCCAACCTCCCACATCCTTCCCCAGCCCTGATCATGCACCGGCGGGGTCCCTTGGCCTGGCCTGTGCCCTCTTGCAATCTGGGACCCCTTGGGGGATGTTGGAGAGACGGTTTCGCCCAATCCCACAGGCCAGGCTGAAGGACCCCACTGGTGCATGAATTCATGAATTCATTCACCAGCCTCTAGTTGTAAATTATTCTGCTATGAACATAGGAGTGCATATATTCTTTCTGATTGGTTGGTGTTTGGGGATTCTTAGGATATACTAGTATTCCCAGAAGTGGGATTACTGGGTCAAATGGCAGTTCCATTTTTAATTTTTTTTTAAATATATTTTATTGATTTTTTTTACAGAGAGGAAGGGAGAGAGATAGAGAGTTAGAAACATCGATCAGCTGCCTCCTGCACATCTACTGGGGATGTGCCCGCAACCCAGGTACATGCCCTTGACCGGAATCGAACCTGGGACCTTTCAGTCCGCAGGCTGACGCTCTATCCACTGAGCCAAACCGGTTTCGGCCATTTTTAATTTTTTGAGGAAACTCCATATTAATTTCTACAGTAGCTGTACCAGTCTGCATTCCCACCAACAGTACACTGAGGTTCCCTTTTCTCCACATCCTGGCCAGCACTTGTTATTTATTTATTGATGATAGCCATTCCAGCAGGTATGAGGTGATACCTCATTGTAGTTTTAATTTACATCTCTCTGATGATTAGTGATGTTGAGCATTTTTTTTTTTTGTATGTCTATTGGCCATCTGTATGTCCTCTTTGGAGGAGTGTCTATTTTTTTCTTTAAGTTTACTTTTTATTGTTGACAGTATTACAGATGTCTCCTATTTCCCCCAACTTCCGCTTATCCACCCAGCCCCCACCTCCCTCCAGGCCTTTACCACACTGTTGTCCGTGTCCACTGGCTATGCTTTGGTTAATCTCTTCCCATCCCCCACACCTTCTTTCCCTCTAAGATCTCTCAGTCTGTTCCATACATCCATGTCTCTGAACTTTTTAAAAATATATTTTTATTGATTTCAGAGAGAAATGAAGAGGGAGAGAGAGAGAAGCATCAATGATGAGAGAGAATCATTTGATTGGCTGCCTCCTGCACGCCCCACACTGGGGAGTGAGCCCACAAACCAAGGCATGTGCCCTGACCGGGAATCGAACCCTGACCTCCTGGTTCATAGGTCAACGCTCAACCACTGCGCCACACAGGCCGAGCACGTCTCTGACCTTAATGAGCCTCTGGGTGTAGTCAGAGCTGAACTCCACAAGGCTGGACGAGAGGCATTCCAAAGGGTGGGGCTATTGCTCCCCCCAGGCTAATGCTGCATGAATGGGAAAGGTCTGCCCGAGAAAGATGGCTTTTGCAGTATGGGGGAATAACTCAGTACAGGGATCCAGGTAGCTGTCCTCTCAGCTCTCTCCCCAGAGCCACCAAGCCTGAACTCTCCTCACACAGCTGGAGTCCACTCTGCCCTCCCTCTGCCAGAGCCCATGGTGAGTGGCTGCCAATGAAATAGTGTGCATTGGCCCTTTAAGAAGGTGCCTGCGTTTCTAGCTTCCTTATAGATAACTGCTTTTCTCTTGCAGCTTTTAAGATCCTCTTTGTCTTAACTTTGGCATTTCCATTATGATGTGTCTTGATGTCAGCCTCTTTGGATTCATATTATTTGAGATTCTCTGCGCTTCCTGCATTTGTACGTATATTTCTTTCAGTTATTATTTATTCAAATAGGTTTTCAATATTTGTTCTCTCTCTTCTCCTTCTGCTACCCCTATGATTAAATATTATTACACTTGATGTTGCCCCAGAAGTCCCTTAAACTATCCTCATTTTTAAAATTCATTTTTCTTTTGCTGTTCTGATTGGGTGTTTTCTGCTACCTTATCTTTCAAATTGCTGATTTGGTACTCTGCTTCATCTAATCTGCTGTTGTTCTTTCTAATGTATTCTTCATGTCAGTTATTGTTTTCATTTCTGACTGGTTCTTTTTAGTGTTTTGTCTTTCTCCATTTTTGTTTCCTTTTTGTTGAAGCTCTCACTGAGATCATTGAGCATCCTTATAACCAGTGTTTTGAACTCTGCATCTGGTATATTGGTTGTCTCCATTTTGTTTAGTTATTTTTCTGGAGTTTTGTTCTGTTCTTTCATTTAAGACATATTTCTTTGTCTCTTCATTATGACTGCTTCCCTATGTTTGTTTCTATGTATTAGGTAGATCTGCTACATCTCCTGGTCTTTTTTATTTTTAATTCTTTATTGTTGAAAGTATTACATATGTCCCCCTTTTTCTCCCATTGACCCCTTCCAGCCCCCTCCCCAGCCCCCAACTCCAGGCCTTCAGCACCCTATTGTCTGTGCCCTTGGGTTATGCATATATGCTTACAAGGTCTTTGATTGATTACCTCCCACCCACCCTTCCCTGCCTTCCCTCTGAGATTCCACACTCTGTTCCATGCTCCATGTGTCTGGATCTACTTCCTTCATTAGTTTATTTTGTTACTTGGATTCCACATATGAGTGTGATCATGTGATACTTGTCTTTCTCTGACTGGCTTATTTCACTTAGCATGATACTCTCCAGCTCCCTCCATGCTGTCTCAAAGGGTAAGAGATTCTTCTTTTTACTGCTGCATAGTATTCCATGGTAAACATACCACAGCTTTTTTATCCGCTCATCTACTGGGCTGTTTCCAGATCTTAGCTATTGTAAATTGTGCTGCTATGAACATAGGAGTGCATACATTCTTTCTGATTGGTGCTTTGATTTTCTTAGGATATACTCCTAGAAGTGGGATCACTGGGTCAAATGGCAGTTCCATATTTAATTTTTTGAGGAAACTCCATACATCTCCCGTCTTGGTGGAGTGGCCTTACATAGTAGGTGTCCTGTGGGGTCGAGAGGTGCAATCTTTCTGGTCATCTGAGCCAGGTGCTCCAGTTGTGTCCCTGTGTGAGTTGTGTGTGCCTTCCTGTTGTAGTTGAGCCTGGATTGCTGTTGGCCTGTCAGTGGGAGGGATTGACCGTCAGGCTGACTGGTTGTAAGGACTGGCCTTCATTACAGCTGAGCTGTTGTATGGGGTTTGGCTGCATGGACCAGGATTCGCTTTAGTGGGGCTCTGGTGCCTGCCGAGTTGCTCTTTGACTGTGTCATTTATGGAGCTAATTGGGTGGTGCTCAGTGTGGTGTTGTCTGAATTCAACCACAAGGTGTGTTGGTTCTAGAGCCTTTGGGAGGGAATCCCGCACATGCCCAGATCAGCTGCTGCCTATGCCTGATGCAGGGCCACCTGCTAGGAGGTACAACATAATCTTCGGTTGGTAGCTGCCTGTGCTTTGCTTGGAGGTGCCTGGGGTGCCAGGATTGGGGCTGCTTAGCAAGAGGTACAGGGCATGCCAAGAACAGCCACTGCTGTTTCAGGTTTGTGGCCCTTTGAGAAAGTTTAGGGAAGTTTGCAGCATAGGCCAAGGCCAGCAGCTCGTGAGGAACAGCAGCTAAAAGAGGCAGATGCCCAAGTTGGGTGGGGTGGGATCTTGGGATCACCAAGTGGGGTGAGTGGTGTTAGGCAGGTTGTTGGAAACTCAGACGGGGCACCAGCCTGATCCTGTAGACTGGTGGAGTAGGGGGCTAGGGCTCAACAAAGGGAAAACAGCGCCTGCCAGCACTTGCCAGCTGTGGGGGTGGGAGGAGGGCTCAACAAATTAACAATGGCACCTGCCCATTGAGCTGCCCCTCCAGCCTTCACCCTGAAGCTGGACGAGTCAGTTCTTTCCCATATGTCCCTGGTGCTTTTCTAGCCGTTGTCCCTTGGCTGGAGCTTAGGGCAATGTTTGTGAGTGAGTCTGTGCTCGGGCCTTTTAAGAGGACACCGGGGTCTACAGCAGCCCTCTACCCAGACAGAGGCCCGCCTATTTCCACAGCCAGATGTTGTGGGCTGGGCAGGCTGATGTGGGGCGAGGACCCCCTTGCTCTTCACTGGGGACCTCACAGCCGAGATATCCCTCCCGAGTATAACTTCCACACATGGTTGTGGGACCAGCCCATTTCAGGTCTCTGCCCCTCCTACCAGTCTCAACATGGCTTCCTTTTAAAAATTACTAATTCAGTCTTTTCACTTGTTATAAGTCTGTTGAGGTTTTTGTATTTCTTCTTGAGTCAATTTTAGGAATTTGTGCCTTTCTAGGAATTTTCTATTTCATTTAGGTTATATAATTTACTCTTGTATAGTTGTTCATATTATACTCTAATAATCCTTTCCTATTTCTATAAGGTCTAGTACTAATGTCACCTCTTCCATTCCTGCTCTTAGTAATTTGAGTCTTTATTTTTTCCTTCTTGGTCAATCTAAAGATTTGCAATTTTGGTGATGTTGTAAAGATTGTGTTATACTTTATTGTTGTATTAATAAATATGATCATATTTAAGAAAAATATGATCCAGGTCTTGAACCTTTCCTCACCTATATTGATTATAGTACTAAAAATATATCCATATTAATTGAATATGTTTAAGAAGATAGTCCTTGAGACACATTTTGAGTGAAGAATAAACTTAGCAAGCTGAGTTTATGGTAGTTTTAGGAAGATTGAAAAATTTGGCACTGAGACAGAAAGATAGTATCTGTCCTCAGGGGCATCCATTCTGGGAGACAGCTAATGCTGTGTTTACCATGAAGAAGCATGCACACTGCTCGGGGAATTACAGGCTGCTGGAGGAATTCACAGTGGGTCAGTGGAGAGCCTGCAGTCTGGCGGTGCCACTCCACTACTGCCCATCCCTCTCTGGACAGACAGGTAGCTTCTTGAGTCCCTGAGGGCTCCTCGGTCATGGGGCTGGCTAGGGCAGGGCATGAGATGAGGGCAGATTCAGGTGGGTGAGCCTGAGTGGTTAGGCCTTTCCCAGAGGGCTATGGGCTGGGTACCACCTTTCCTCTCATCTCTTCCTGTCTGGCATCTTCCAACTCTAGAGGGCAGGGCATAGGAGTAGGAGTGACACCAAGCAACCTGCCTGTTGGATTAGGGGCCCTGTCGGTGCTTCCCCACACTTCACCAACCTCCCTCCCCATCCCAAGGCAGGTGGGACAGGAGGGAAACTGAGTCTCAGAGATGGGTTAGTTGTGCCCTAGGTGAGCTGACCAAGCATCAAAGCCATTTCTTCGGATGCAGCAATGACACCTCTCTCTTTACGCTCCACAGAATCTGGAAACAAGGCCCCGGGCTCTGGCTGGCTTGGTGGGAAGAAGAGGAGTCCCCTGCAGATGCTCTATGACCTGGACCAGGTAAGTGGACAGACCCCCCCCCATTCTGGGACCCCTCCCTCTGCCTCTAGACATGGGAACCTGAGAGCCTCAATGTAAACCTACAGCAAGCATGTCAAACTCGCTGCCCGCGGACCACATGTGGCCCACAATGAATATTTTTGCAGCCCAGCCAATATAACCGTATGTAAGAAACTTTTTAATAAAAATTTCATAACTTAATTTTTACAATATCCTGTTACACATAATCTATATATATATATAACAGGCTAATATGCAAATTGTCCACTTGGGAGTTTGACCGGGACAGCGGGAGTTTGATTGCTCGCTATGATGTGTGCTGACCACCAGGGGGCGGCGCAGAACATGTCTGGCTACTAGTGGCGGTGGGGCGCTGAGGGAGTGAGGGAAGGAGGAGGCCAAGCCTAGGGACCCTACCCTGCACGAATTTTGTGCACCAGGCCTCTAGTTATTAATAACGAACTATGTTTGCTAATGACTGGTTACTATAATCATGTTGCATTCATTGTTACAAATTGAACATAATTAAAGCATAGTGATTAATCACAAAAACAATATGTAATTATATATGTGTTTTCCGATGGTCTTAGGCGACCCCTGTGGAAGGGTCGTTCAACCCCCAAAGGGGTCGCAACCCACAGGTTGAGAACCGCTGCTCTAAGGGCTCTGGGAGAGGGTCCTTCCTGTCTCTTCAGCTTCCAGGGACTCCTGGCCCCCTCCCTTCAGTCTTCACGCAGCCCATCCTCCTTCTCACTGGACTTCTCCCTCCTGTTCACGTGGCCCCACCCCTTTGTTGACACACCTGTTCTCCCAAGATCAGGTGGCCCCACCCCTTTTCACCTGAGTACTTTCGCTTGATTACTGGCCCTGCTCCCTTGCTTACATGCCCACTTCTGCTTGATCACATGGCCCCGCCCCATTGTTTGCATGCCTGCACTCTGTGTTCACATGGCCCCACCCCCTTGAGACCTTGGATGGTCTCTGTTTCTGGGTGCCACCATCCCGGTTGGCTGTCTGCCCCTGCTCTCACACCTGTCAACAGTCCCTTTGCCAAAGTCCTTCCAGAAAAAGCCATCTCTTTCTTGCTGGGACTGTAACAGTTGGGATTGAAAAGGAGACAGGAGAGCTGTGGTCCGTCCAGGGTCCATGCAAAAGGTCCACAGGGGCCTATGCAGTCCCTGGAAGGCTGTGCCTCTGGGCAGCTGCTTTGTCCTGTGGTTCCTCCTAGCTGGTAACCTTGGCGGAGTCCCGCTGCATTGGGCGAGGGCCTTGTGTGGAGAAGGCCCTGCCTCCCCTCGCCGTCTTGGCTTAGATTACAAAGTACCATTATTTTTCCTGTGTCTGGCTTCCGCTGCCTGCCTCCCCTGGCAGATTTGGTTTTGCCTCAAAAAGAAATTGATTCGGGGTCTGCAAACTGGCTGACTTCTGCATTTGCTCTGTGAGACGTAGCTCTGTCCGGGTGCCGCCTGGTACGAGATCCTGATGCCACCCCACCTCCGTGGCAGCATCTCTCATCCCCTGGAGACCCCATTCAGCACACAACACCCTCCATGCTCCCCTGCAGCTCCAGGGACCCGCTGAGCCCGGGCCCCAGCCTGTCACTAGTCCCCCAGGTCCTGCCTGTAGCCCCAGGGTTCTCAAATCAGTCTGGGAGGGGCCGGTGGGTTGACTGACCCCTTAGACAGAGGGGTACAGACCAAAGCTATCGTTCTTTTTTTTTTTCCACATCACATCATGAGTTTTTTTGTTATTTTTCTCATTAAAAATGTTAATGTTGACATTATTGCAGGTGTCCCCCCCCCC